GTCCAAGGGCGAGCTGGACGAGGGCGACCCCCTCAACGGTTTCTTCAAGAAGATCTTCAGCCAGGGCGACGAGGACACGCGGCGCGCGATGATGAAGAGCTTCGTGGAGAGCAACGGCACGGTGCTGTCCACAAACTGGGGGGAGGTCGGCAAAAAGAAGGTGGGGTGGGGGACGTGGGAGGAGGGTTGGGGGTTGGGATTGGGCGGAGGAGTGGGCGTGTTTGAGGGTTTTCAGCGCCCGCCACGATGGATGGGGTGGGGTTTGGTGGGGGCGGGGCGTAGGCAGGCCTCCGTGGGATGTCGAGCCTGTCGGCTATGTCTGGGGTTGGAACTGGAGACTCTGCGTGACCACCCGCCCCTCACAAGGGACCTCGTCCTTGCTCCCAGGCCTGCCGCTGAGTGAGGCGCCCCCCTCCCTCCCTGCGGTCTCCCCCAACCCTGCAGGTGGAGTGCACCCCTCCAGAGGGCATGGAGGTGCACAAGTGGGACGAGTAGAGAGTTGCGCCCCGCCGCCGCCGAATGATAACTTTCTTGTCATCGCGTTAAATGCGCAGGAGTGCAAATGAACGCGCCCATTGCCTAGGCCGTTTGGGCACGGCGCCCTTTCCTGGTTTTGCATGCTTTGTGCAGTGTATGGTGGAGAGATGTTGCTGGGTCTTGCACAACTCCCCACTTCGGCTAGATCAACTTGTTTTGCTGGCCTTCTACTTGTACAGCAGCTGTGCGCGGTAAAATGCAGGGTCCCCAAACTGGCTCTTCGGCGGTTGCGCTCCACCCCAGCCAGGTCAGCGTGGGGTGCACGAGAGGGGGTGCAGTGGCTCAGAATATGCACCATGTGACGTATGATATGGCGCAGCAGCTCATGCGCCCCTACCCTGCCGCTTGAGGCATCCCTCGACGTCCTGGATGACGCCTCTGTCTGCTGCCAGGGGACAGCTTCTGCGCAGCGCGGCTGCGGCGGTGGCAGGCAGATCAAACTGCCTAGGCCTCGATACATTTAGGTATAGGTAACCTTAATGTTCACCCATGAGCCATCGATCGATGCTCTCGCGGGCCTGATCGGCACCCTGGTTCAAACTTTGTTTGCCGATGCACTTCACGCAGACACTGTACGCGCCGAGTCTTCATTGAGCCGCTTCACCATGACGGGGCCCTCAGGTCCGTCCCTAAGATCCTGCGCTCCCTTGGCACTCTGGCGGCGCCGCAACCAGCGCGCCCAACCAGACCGCCCGCATCGCATGCCGGGGTCAAAACACCGGGGTACCCACCCCACCAGTACCATGTCCCGCATGATTGACTTCTTTACTGGCCCCATGCCGCGTCTTTGTGTGCGCAGGCCTGGAAACTGGGCGGATGCGAGAATCTGTCGGCGCCGCTGTCGCGGCGCCAGCTGACCTGGACGGCATCGGCGGCTGCTTTCCCCTTGCACAGCGGCAGCTGCGCGGCACAGGCGGCTGCTTCGGGGGCAGCTGCAGGATGGCGGCAGAGTTTGACCAGGACGACAGCAGCGAGGGCAGCGAGTGTGCCTCAAGCGCCCACGACGGCAGCGGCGGCGCCGGCGCTGCGGCATGCGGCGACCCCGAGGAGCCCAGCAGCGGCGCGCGCGGCGTCGACCGCACCGCGCACGCCGCCACGACACGGGACGGCTGGCGCCTGCACCTGCATCGCGTGCGGTGTCCTGCGGCCGCGGCGCGGCGGGCGCGGCGGCTGCCTGTCGTGCTGTGCCCCGGACTGGGGTCTGGGGGCATTGAGTCGTTCGACCTTGATGCAAGCGTATCCCTGGCGCAGCACCTAGCCGAGCGCGGCTTTGACGTCTGGTGCGCAGCCCTGCCCGGGATATCCCCAGCCCGGTGACGGGTTGGGGCTCGCCCTCTCGGCCGCGGACTCCGCCGCCCGGCGCCGCCTGCGGCATCCTCGCCTCGACGGATGCTGGGCGCCTGCCCTTGGCCCAAACCGCGCGCAGGAGAAGGCCTCTCACTCCTGCCCCTTCCCGCTCCCCGCAGGGTGCCCGACCTGCGCGGCAACGGCCGCAGTGACCGGCCCAAGTGGTGGGACCGCAAGACGTGGTGGACGGTGGGCGGGGCCCCGCTCACTAACAGGGGTTGGGCCCGCCGACCGCTGGGGCCAACGAGTGGACGAGGGCCCGGGGCTTGGGGCGTGCTCCGCACACGTTTGGACCGCGGCCGCTGTTGGACGTTCGGCGTGCCACCTCACCCCTTGGATGCGGGTGAGCCGCCTTGCGACGTGCAGCCGGAGCGTTGTTTCTGTCGCAAGCTAATCTGACCCTCAGCCCAACCGCCCCTGGCGTCCTGCCCGCTGACCTGGACATGCCCAATCTCTGCCGCCCCACCACTTCCTGGCTCGCCCCTCGCCGCCCTGACGACCCATCAAACCCCCTCGCCCCTTGAACCCCCGTCTGGCAGGTCGACGACCACCTTCTCCTCGACTTCCCGGCGGTTGTGGACGCCGTGCTCGCGCTGAGCGGCGCCCCCCAGCTGCACTGGCTCGGCCACTCGATGGGCGGCATGCTCGCCGTCGGCGCCCTCTGTCGCGGCCTGCCCGCGGCCGCCGCGCTGCGCACCGTCACTACCCTCGGCAGCGGCTGCTTCGGCGCCGGCAGCTGGCACGCGCTGGCGGGGGCGTGGGTCGCGCGGCTCACGGCGATAGGGTTCCACGGCGGCGCGGTGGTACCGCTGGTCACATCGCTGCGGGGCCCGCTCGCCCCCCTGGCCTGGGCCGTGCAGAGCCTCTTCTACGTCCACGCCAACGTGCGGCCGGAGACTGGACGGAAGCTGCTGGGCAGCGTCCTCAGCTTCATCCCGGCCGGGCTGGTGAAGCAGTTTGTGGGGTCCCTCAACGGGCCCCTGGGGATGTCGTCGTGTGACGGCAGCTGGCAGGTGCGCGGGCAAAGGCGCGCTAGCCAGCCAGCTGCGTGGCGAGGAGGAGGGGTCCACAGCGCAGGCTGCAGGTTTTGGGAGGGCAGCAGCACGGGTCGGTACAGTAGTAGTGTAGAGGTTACCAATTGTGTATAAACAGGACATGAGTCTGGAAGGACAGTCCACCTGCGCAGCGCGCACACGCACTCACACACACACACACACACA